TCCATTATTTCTTTTGTATCCCTCTTCTGGTCAATTACATTTTGATTTCTTACAGGTCCAAGAGTATAGTTATATACATATTGTGGTATACAACTGCTTTTAAAATCAGTTAAGATAGTAGCTGGGGATGGTGGCATACGCTTGTAATCCCAGCACTCTGGTGGCTGAGACAGGAGTTGCAAGTTTGATACAAAGTGAGCTCAAAGCCAGCCTGAACTGCATAGTGAGACCCTATCTCAAAAAAAAAAAAAAAAAAAAAAAAAAAAAATCAGTTGAGAGAGGAAAGATGAAGAAATACACAAATGCAGTTACCTTCACTGGTGCTCTTGTAAGATCTGTGCATCTCCATGTGAGTGTCTCTTGCTTTTGGCTGAGGCATTTCCTTTACTATGTATTTTCTTGGAAGGTCTATCTGCTAGCAAACAATTTTGTATTTCTCAGAATGGTCTCATTTTTTGTTAAATTTTAAAAGTTTTTCTGGATACAAGATTCTTAGTGGAGACTTTTTCATTCAGCACTGAACACATCTTTTCACTGCCCCTCACCACTGTTTCTGATGAGAAGTCAGAAATACATACCACTGGAGGTTCTCCTACATGACAAGCTGTTTTTTTTTTTTTTTTGCCTGCTGTCAAGGTTTTCCCTTTGTCTTTGTCTTCAAACATTTTTACAGTGGTGTGTGTGTGTGTGTGTGTGTGTGTGTGTGTGTGTGTGTGTGAATCTCCATATTATTCTACTTTAGGCGTTCCTTGAGAAAGCAATCTTATGGAGGGCCAGAAAGCCCAATAAAAGGCAGGTGAGTCTTATAAGCTTTTATTGAAATCCTCTCTACTATACATCCATTCCAAGGGCAGTGCCCCAGTGACCTCCCATTAGACTTAATTTCGTAAGGCTCTAGGGACAAGCTTCCCAACAGGTAGGTACTTTGGGGATACACTCAACCACACTCAAACCACAGTTGTTAGTGATGAGACAGATGTGTTGAAGTATCTATTGCTTCCACCAGCACAACTTTCTTTAGTACTGCACACATATTAATGGATATTTTGAAGTCTTTTCAACATCTGGATTTTTATGGCCAATTTTTGCTGCCTGTTTTGTTCTCACGTCTCATTTTCCTATTGGTATATCCTGTACATGTTTGGTACTACACAATTTAGGGAACTCCAGATTCTGATCTTTCTATCCACACTTTGCAGTTGGTTCTCTGTATTGTCTTCTAGCCAGTGTGCTCAGCAGGACCAGCTGGACTATCAGTGAAACCTACGTCCTCTGTGGTGTGAAACCTTCAGTTTGCTCCTTGGTGGATGCAGAGTTGAACCTGCACACAGATGACTTGGCTTTAGTCTGGCTTTTGCCTGTTTTGTCTTCTGATCCCTCTGTTAAGTTTTTGCCTCACATACTATCATATCCATCTATTAAGTTCCCCTTATTATTGACTGTTCTGTTTTGACAGTGATGTGGGACCTAAATTTCTCTAATGTCTATTCTAATTAAAGTAGGTAGGGTCAGTTCATGAGCTGTTCAACCCTAAAAGGGCTCTTCTAACTACTTCCTTGATGGCTTGTGGTCTCCTATGATTATGATGCTCAAGTCTGGATTCTAGTATCTCAGAAACTGAATATATTGAAGATAGGGCCTTAACATGGTGAAAAAGTTCAGAGAAGACCAAGAGGGTGAGTCTTACTAATGTCTGACTGGTTATCTTTTAAGATGAGGGCATTTTGACACAGAGTGAAGAGGTCCATATGCATGGAAAAAGAGCATATAACACAGAAGTGCAAAAGTGGCTATCTGTAAGCCAAGTACAGATGACTTGGAAGCTAACCTGGCTACTCCTCTACCTCAGGCTTTCAGCCTGCAGGACTGTGCACAATAAAATGCATTGCTTAAGCATTCCCATCTGTACCACTTTGCTACAGCAGCCCTAGTAGATTAGTTCGTGGCTCTTAGTATCTTTGGACTGATGTCCTCAATTGTTATGAATTCAGCCACCCAGGCTGTTGGATGGACCTCTGATTGTGAAGCTTATACCCTACAAGTGAGCTGGGGAGAGCAACAGGATCCCAGTGTTCCAGGGGGGTAGAACCCCACACTCCTATGGTGGGGGCTAGATGGAAGAGAGCTCCCAGGCTCACCTCTTTGACTGCTGAAAATATTTGAAAGGCTGAGACCTGTTCCCAAAAGACAAATTTGCTGAGCTGGAACCAGGGAGAAGGGGCCTCTGCTTTAGGCTACACCTCTGTGAAGCTGAATTGGAGTGGGAGAAAGAGACTTACTGCTTTTGCTTTGGAGTTTTCTTAAATTTATTTCTTCCTTCAATAAATTCCTTTAGGTCAACTGCCAGAACCTTTACACAGATGCTTGTTATAGTCTTCATGTTTTGCTTCCTTTGCTGGGGAGCAGGTTCACATAACTCCTCACATTCTACCCTGGATGTTTTCTCTGGCAAAGGTTTTCTCACACAGCCCTCTATGGGTAAGCCCCCTGCCCTTACACACTGTCTTCAACAAAGTGGCTCATCTGAAATATGAATCTGATCACATCTCCTGCTCCTCAGACGTTTTCATAGTTATCTCCTTGGCCTCATGATCTAAATCCAGATGCATCCTGGTTGACTCTGTTGAGCTCTCAACCTCTATGATGCCCAGGCACCATCTGATACCATCTTTCTCTAGGCGATGCTTCTCCCTGACCCACAATCCCCACTGCCGGCTAACTTCTCTACCACCAGAAAGCAATTTAGCTATCACGACCCAGGATATACTCCTGGGCTCCTCTGGAACTGGGTTATGACTAGGATTTAAACTTGTTTCTCAACCATCATAGCCCTACCTACTGTGTAGACCACAGTAGGTACTTAATGCAGAGTGGGAGGACCAAGTAGGATAAAGAGCTGACCACCTCACAAACCACTGACCACCTACCCAGTGCTGGCCTTACAGAAGGAACGGTAGACCCGGTTGCCGGTTGCGCCCTGCCCCCAAGCCGCGTGGGGGCTGTTGATAATCGTGTAATAACCTAAATTCTCCCAAGACCCTGGTATCGGTTAGGTTCCGACCCCATAGCTCTGGACTCACCCGTGCTTGACGTCGCAGCTGGAAGGCTTGCCGACTGGAGAAGCCTTGCCCTATAGGGCCACTGCCATCATCACTATTGAAATTGCTCCCGCTAGGGGCCCTCCTCTCATACCAGGCCATGGCAGCTGAGGGGCGGGGCCAGGCGTAAAGATGAAGGCGGGGCCAGAAAGGGATGGAAACTTGGGGGCAGGGTGATGGAGCAGTGTAGCAACAGGGGCCATTTGGGATACAAAAGGGGAGGGCAAAAGGGTGTGGGGAAGGAAGGCATGACATTTTAAGTGTCCTGCTGGCTCCTACCCTTCCCTAGAGGTACCTAAAGAAAATTCTGGGCAGCCCACAAGCCTTTTAAACCTGGTGAGAACTCATTACATGACATATACAAAAGGCCCTCTTATGTACCTGTGAGGCCCTCCTGCTGGGCTTGCAGTCCTAGCACTTTAAAAGGCTGCCTGAAGATCTAGCCCACTCAGGGCAATTTAGCAGTTTAGGGATACCCTGCTACAAAAGAACAAACAGTCACAACAGATACCCAGGCTGCTTTTCCACCTGGCACCTGCCCTGATTTCCAAGGCTCTGGCCTCCAGGCCTGTTGTCATTTTTTCCAGCTAGTCCACCATCTCTATAGTATGATATAGGTCCTTCCATCAACCCCACAATACCTTGCGTATCTTTCTTATACAATGGTTACTATGTACTTATACCAGAAGCACATTTTTCTGTGTCCCTACTGCAGAATTAATTCTAGGGCTACTTTAGGATAGTAACCACATGCCAACAGCAGAGTAGGCACTTTAAATTCAGTCCCATACTCCAATCATAAGTGCACGATGTATCCTTTGGGGTTACATATGAAATACTGGAATTAAAACAAAACAAAACAAAATGTTTGGAATCAGTTTTCCATTCAACAAAGCACAAGGGAAATTTTTCTGGTGTACAATGGTACACCAGAAAATCACCAAGGGTTTTACTGCTATTTTATGTGGTCTAGACGCCAGGGCACCACTAGGTCAGAATCATTATTTCTGTAACAGCCACAGAAACACAGGCTGTAAGATGGTGCTGAATCAGTACGAATTCTCAGTCTCTTAAGTTTTTCTCTTCTCAAACTCTTTAAGTACATTTTAGGCACCAAAACGTAGTAAAATCAAATACCATAATTCCAATATATAAACATTTGGTTCTATCAGAAAGAGCCCCTTAACATCCTCTAAGCCCTCAGATGCAATTTTCTTGTGAAAATTTCTTTTCTACTTACTTTATAGTGCAATATTATTGACTAATCAGCTTGCTGTACCACAGACCTCAAAACTCATTCTCCCTATCTGAAACTGGATCTTCTGACCAACTCTCCATTCTTCTTTGACCCCAAGAAAGTCCTCTAAGTTCTATAAGACTGTCCCATCCTGGTACTCCCAGGAAGTTCACATTCTGTGAAGAAAAGCAAACTAGAGTCAGGCACAGCTTAGGTGAAACACCCCTCAGAGGCCGCACCGACCCGAGGGGAGGGCTGTTCCTTTTGCTCCATCTCCACAGGCCTGGCCTGGCCTGGCCCTGGGGCTTGCTCTTGGCCAGTAAGAGCCCGTTTCCTCATCACTGCACTTATACTTTTAAAATCCAACATACCCCTTCACATCAGCTATCTCGAGTGGGCACTATACCTTACCAGGACACCTAATTGGTACCATTTACTATTACTGTGCACATTGAGGAATTTCACAGTGGCCATGACAGGTAGTGTAACTGAAAAATATCCCCAGTGGCCACCTGGATACTACGGTGCAAAGCAGAAATCCTGAAGGCTTAGGGGGCCAAGCTCTTGCATAGTACCAGTGTGAAAGCCACTCACGAACATCAGTCAGCTGTCACTAGGAAAACAATACAGCCCCCCCAAACAGAAAACACTGCCTGACACGGAGCGATACTCAGCACTGTTTAATGAATGGGTGGAGAGATGGAAACAAGGAAGAGGAAGGCTGATATTATAAATATAAACTTTGTCAGCACTTTTAAAACAATAGCAAATACCCTTAAATACATACAAAGTTTATTAAAAATAGGTTGCAACCAAAATACAGTAGAAATGGAAAACTACAGCAGTTTGGAAGTTTTTCCCATAGTAATTAATGCACATTATGAAAAGCACTTTTACACATATTCACATTTGACCTCATTGTCCAGGGATGGCCAAATCCACTTTCTTATGGGTTTTATAAACACACAGGAATCTCTATGTACTTGTGTCTGTCTGCCTTTCTACATATGAACACACTGATCACCTGTGTCGTCTTCTCTAAGAAAAGTGTGAACTTGCCACCGGAAGGCCACCAGTGCTCTTGAGAAACCAGGAGGAGCTTGCTTTTCCTGGGGCAAGCATGTAAATCCTTCATCAACTCTCAGGATCATTTGACTCTTACAGAGGAAACAGTAAAAGCACACTTTCAAATAAGAACTGTGACAGACATAAAAAATATTTACACTTGCACTTTCAACGATTTATCATACAACTTATATTAAAAGTGGTTTCTAGGGGCAGCGAGTGTCTCTATTCTTCATTTGAAAGTGTGCGCATTTTCCTGACATACATATTTGTAAGAGAACAGGTACAAAAAAGATCATCTGGGCCCCATCAAGGCTTTGTCCAATAGGAGATGTGCTTGAAATCACGAAGTAATATATAATATACCATTTTAATATCACACAATATAAGCAAACTGAGGTTCGTCTCCCAACATCAGCCACATACCCACAGATATGACAGTGGTAACTCATAATTCACAAATTAAAATTAAATAACTCTAATATATTGTAAAAAAATAGCTTAAACTGTCATGAGTTATTCTTGTAATATTTAAATTACAGATGGCGTAACTGAATTTTTTCCTTTCCTGACAAAACATGGATGTAAATTGCTTTTGTAAATTTAAAATTTCTGTGTGAGAGCAGCGTTTGAGCGTCACCTATGAATCTCCCATTCTTTGATACTTTTGACGCTGATCACATGAACACTGCTCAGCTAAAGACCTTTCTTTATAGATTCCTTGAAATTCTGAAATATCAGTAAACTTTCTAACAACTGTCATCTTCAATATCGCCAAACATTTATTAGTCTACCAATAACTTGGTATATATAAAAAATAAAATCCCCTAACACTAAATCCTCTAGATCTTCTTCATTGAGAATTTATAAAATCAAATATTTAACATAATCACACTTAAGAACTGATCAGGAGGGCTCACTATCAGGGGAGAGATGGGCTGTGTTCAGCATGGCCAGTACTCTGGGGCAGAAACCCTTGGTGGTGCAGGAGGAGCAGCCGCCCGGGCTCTCTCTCCTGCAAGCAAGGCTGTGACTACAAGTGAGCACAGTGGTCTGGGTGGTTCAATTACTCTATCTGGCAGCCAAAGTGAAACTTTTGAGAAACAACAGAAAGAGAACTACTTAGTCTGCAGTCCTTATAAGGATTACCGGAGAAAATGGGAGAGGAAGCACACTCTATTACCTCTACTGCCCTCTACTCTGCGGCTCTTTGCCTAAGACTCCAAAAAGAAACTAAACAATGTGTCAAATGAGTCAGGTCACTTAATCAGATGGCATTCCTATTGTACAAATGTCAATTTCTTGGTACAGTAAAATAAAAATTCTTGGAACCACAACATGTCTAAATGGCAATAATTTTAGAAACAGAATTAGAAATCACTTAGAAATATAACCTCCCCTCTCCTCTTCAGGCTTACACCTGCACACCCATGCTGAGGGAACCTGGGCAAACACAAAGTGGCCTTGGACGGTCCTCACTTTGTGTTTAGCTCATTCTCCAGTTCTGTTAATTTACGAGAAGCTTTCACTTTATCAGATACATCTTGACCTTGTGAAAAGAGGCGCTGACGCTCTTTGAATGTCAGGTTCTCCGGGGCTCCAGAACTTCCAGGCACATCTGTATCTTGGCTAGGCAAGAGGGAAATGCAAAAATATCACTCATCAAAATAGAATTAACTTCTTTATAACCAGGCAAGTTTGCATAATAGGCAAGTAACGAAAATTTTCAGTGAGAAACTTACTCTTTTTAAATGTTGCTATTATTTTTCCTATAATTAAATTTATTAGACTATATAAAAATAAGCAAAATGTTCACCTTACCAAAATGTTAACTTTTCCCAGTCATAATCCAATTTTCAAAAACAAATCAAACTTCAGCAACTAAATATTTCTTATCAACTAAACAAGCTTAACTAAAGGGGAACACTTTAAAAATCTGCCATTTTTATAAACTTGTAAGGCTGTGAGAGACATCTACAATTATATCTATTAGTTACAGAATGGTACTGCTTAGTTCAGCTTTTAACAGTTGGTATAATACCATTTCTACTTATTTTTTGTGCACCATCAAGGTTGGCCTTACATAGCAGATCCTGGGCCATCGCCCTTAAATTTTTAACCTTCTCTGTTGGAAAAAAACAGCAACATAGGTACTACTAATGTCCTGGCCAAGAAGTCCAGTCACCTGTATCACTGTCTGAAACAGAACTAGATTAGCAACACAGAGTTTAAAAGCCTATATGCTCAGGGCCAGGAATTTAGCTCAGTGGCATAGACCCTGCCTGGCAAGTATGAGGTTGTATGTTCGATCCCTGGTACTAAAAAAAAAAAAAAAAAAAAAAAAGTTTATACGCTCACATGACTGTATAATGGAAAACAACTGAGCTGAGAATGAAGTCTTTGAAATTTCAATCAGCTTCACATGATTTAAAATGCCATAAGGTATAAGGATAGCCGTGAATCACACATGTGGCCCAACACAACCCTAAGTACCTTCTAGCACGCTTCTCTCTCAGATCCCAAGCAGTATCCTGGGGGCCAGTAACTGTCCCAGCAGACCCGGAGTAAGAGTGTGGTCCTTTTCCAAAAAAGAAAAAGTACAAGATAAAGTACTTGATCACTTCCAAAATTTTACTCATTGATAAAAAATCAGTGCTCAAGGAAACATAAGACACCTTCAATTACAGAGTGAGTAAGAAAGCAAGAAGCCCTTCATATGAGATGAAAGATCCACCAATTTGAAAATTCACATCTCTTGGTGACCAGAATAATTTACTCACTGTATTCCATAGCTGCTGAATCACTGAGCTTTTGTCTTTTATTAAAGTGGCAACAGTAATGGACATATACAAAGTGGCCATGTCAGATAAAATACGCAAACCCACAGAAGATATACTTAAATAGGGTCAGCAAATTTTTCTGACACTAAGAATTTTCTTACAAAATCACTCAGAGCAAATGAAGCCTCAAAGATTATAAAATAAACTCATACAGTTGTTTCAGAATAACTACTGAATTTTTTTCAAGATAAATTGTTATAATTATTAACAATAAATCTTTTTAAATAAATGAGCTATCAAAACCCAAACCAAATCAACCCTTCTCCTCAAAAAAAACCCCACCTGTAATTCCACACTAGTGCTGCAGACACAAAATTGACAAAATGAGAACAAGGCTCTCTTAGCAGCAAGGAGTGGGTAAGTCTGGCGGGCACCTGGCCTGTGCCCAACTCTGCTGTGGACTGGCTGAGCCATCAAGATCGAGTGCAACCTCTTCTTGCTCTACGTGGTTATCAAAGATCAAAAAAGATGATGCAGATAAAAAGTTTCTATGTATGTAAGTATTCATTAATACTGTACTGTAACTAATATTAAAAAATCAGAATTCATGTATTTCTATTGTTAAAATTTATAAAAGAAAAACTAATTCATACTAGAGAAATCTTGTGCTTATAAAAGAGATTGGAGTATTACATGTTCAAAATACTCAACAAATACTGACAGCACTTAATACTGAATTAAAATAGGCCACAAAATCATGCCAGTATTTTCATACTAAAAACTGTTTTTCTTAGACAAGTTGCATGAAAATGAATTTTCAAGAAAATGAATTTTTTCTTCCATATGAAAAGCCTGTCCTGAAAACTCATGAGACATGGGCAGACACAGCACAGTGCCACTGCAGAGCACCCTGCCGGCCACATGCTCAGGCGTCCAGGTTGCCACATGGGAGCCACCTTCAGTAAAGACTCGAAAGACACAACAGAAACACTCTCTATGTTAATGCAATCCATAGGAGTCTCTAGAAAGTTCTTTGGATGATAGGTTTTTTCCAATTTGATTCCAAACCTTTTCTTCATTTTGTCTGTTTCAAAAAAACCACTGTGTTGTATCTTTTGAACTTTGCTGAGAATGATACTTGTTTCTTCCACTGGTAAACATCAACTTTTCAAAATTTTCAGAAATTTTACTCTTCATTGGAACATCAAAAACTCTCAGCTGACTATACATGAATACTGCCAATTACAAATAATTTCCAAAGAACTTTAGTGATGCATCTTTTAAAAAAATGCTATGTTGAAATTTGTATTCATTCTGAGTGATATCTGAATTCTGTTCCTCACACAGCCAGTGGAAGAGGCTAAGTACCATCTGTAGTACTGTCAGAGAGTTCACAGAAGAGAAAAAGCTGGAACAGAGGTGTGGCATAGGCTGAGATGAGAGAAGGCAAATACACTGTGCCCGAGCTACGGACTTCACAAGAGATCTCAAAGAGACTGGGCAACAGACATAGGATATAATCTGCTCCTAAGTGGTACTTTAGTGTGAAAGCAAGCATTAGTGATATGACTGTGACACTTATAAAATATATGTAATTTGGCTTGTAAAACCTGATATATGACAGCATTTTATTTCAAAATTGTTATCCCATAATGTCTTTAAAATGAACCACATTCTAGATATTTGTAATAGTTATAGTAGAAAACATAAAAAGATTTTAATTTTGGCTTCAAGATGATTCAACTTAAATACTGTATACAGAGTCAAGGTAGATTAGGGCTCTCATTCAGGTGGGAAAATGACAGAATCCTGGAAAACACATTTTCCTGTAAAAGGCTACCCTGAACCTCAGAATGCCTACATATTATCTGTATGGAATCACATACAATTAAGAAGATGCATCTATTCATGAAAACACTACTGTTATGAGGATGCTTGGCCCCAGAATTCCAATTGCATTTATAGCAAAGTTAATGGAAAATATGATCTGGATATAACTTAGCTATATCCCAAGAGTGACATTCAGTGCTGTTCAAAGCCCGCCTGATGAATCTACGTGGCAGCAGCTCTATCCTGGGAACAGGTAGGAGCACTCAAGTACTGGGCAGTCTGTGAAGAGGAATTTGCTTCACAGGAGTGGCAGGCCTCTAAGGTATGGCTGCAGAGCTATGTGGCACTCAAGAGTGTGAGCTAACAGGAAGCAATGCAATCAGATAGAAGGGAGAGGAAGTGGGAGTGCTTCAGGACCACAGGGGTCACTGGCCTGAAGCCAAGCTGTGCTGTTAAGCCAGTTCAGCAGACACTTAACTGCCCTATCAAGCCACCATAAAAGACAGGAATCACTGCAAAATCTAATAACAGAATCCAAAGTTCTACTCATATTAAATAACGGAAACCTAAAATGTAGCTTTAGTATTTTGTGTTTAGAGACATTAAAATGTTTGAAAAGGCCTTTAACCAAAAGTAAGATTTGAAGAGGTAGAAAATGAAAGCCAAGACCAACAGTACTTCAAGTGATTTGAAGAATAATGGAGAAGACTGATTGCTGTCAGCTGATCAACAAAATGTAAATTCTTAAAGTAGCAAAGAAAATCAGAGCACTAAGACATCAACACAGAAATCACAATTGGAGGTAGAGGGAGATCACCATGCTGAAAGTGATCAAGTGAGATTTAAACTCTGAGGCACGCACGGTCCTGTCGGACCATATCAGTGCCAAGTGCGCAGATTCCAAAGTTCCAATCATCAAGACAAGACAGGGTTTGATTTGAACTCTATCTTTTACCTCTACCTTTATAGGGGCCAGGATGATAGAAGCTTGGTTTTTTTGGAGGGGGTGGGGGTTGGCCCATTTTGTGAGCTGTACTGTTGGCTTTGGTGGTGGGTGGCTGGAATGAGTTGGAGAGAAAGATGCCATCGGAGGCCGGGCGTGGCTGGTAGGGGGGCTGCTGTGGCTTAAGGTTGGCAGAAAGAAGGTCCCCCTGAGACTTTCTTGTGCTAGCGTACTTATCCTGACCTGCTAGGCTGCAGTCCTCCTCCTCCTCCTCATTGTATGCAACAAACTTGGCCGTGAACAGCGAGTCTGGGGAGAGGACCTGAGTTTTGAGGTAGGAGGCGTTTCGCTGAGGTGGGGGAGGAGGGGCACTGGACCCAGGGGACGGGATTGGGGGCTCGTAGTCCCGTGGAAGTGGAGGTCGGCATAGCCCAGGTTCCTCAGGTTCCAACAACCTGCGTGCAACCTCGTCGTGCTGTCTGCGCCTCTCAGCTTCCAGTCGGCTGTAATACCCTTCTTCCTGTCGCCTCTGCAGGCGGGAATAAACAAAAGTGCAAAGGTCAGAGGTTAGAAAGGGACTAATGGGCCCACTGGGCCTTTACGGGGAATGATAGGTACACTGATCCTCAGTCCCCATCATCACACTGACAACAGTATGCCACATTTAACTGTCAAAATTAACTGTAACAGAAGAGGTAGGTGAACTCAGAAATACTCTTTTCCTGAGACTTGTAAGTACACTCATACTGCTCTGAATTAATTTGATATGAAATTGCTCAAAAGCACGGAAGAATTATGCAATTAGATGTACATTAAGAATCCTCTGAATTTTTTCCTGTCTTCTTGCTGTTTCTTCTGCTGTTTTGGTAGTATATTAACTTACCTGTTACTGCTGTGTTTTAATAGGAAACCATATACTGTACGTAACATCACTCATTTTTCCAAAGGAACAATCTAACAGTGTGCTTTCCATAATTCTTAATTTATATTTCAAATCTTAACAAACTCCCTGATGAACAGAAAATTAGAAAGCCAAGCATTAATAGCAACAGCAACAAGATACTATATTCAAATATATTTTGACACATACTATACATTTTTTTCTGACATACATCTGCACAAACTATAGTTGACAGTGTTAAAATTCTTTTAACATTAAAAAAGATAACAGCACAGTTTGTTAAAGATTGACAAGAGTTTCAGAGCGCAAGAAAAAAGCAAATATGAAAGGGGGTGAAAGATCACACAAAATAAACTGGCTTGAGTAAGTGTTCAACACTATAAAATGGAATATGGTGAATTTTAAACTCATTCAACCCAAGAGAACTTATTTTAGGACCTTGCTGGCACTAAGCTCAGTTTTTGAAGGCCCTGTTTTAGCCTTTATGCTGCATTCTTTTCCTATGCCCTCTACGGCCACACACATGCACACAGTGAACGCACAATGGTCCCTCTTCATCTTCTGAGAAAGAAAATGAGAAAAGTAAGTGCCAGCCCAATCTTTACCCCAGACTCAATTTCTTGCTTTATCTTCTTGCTCTATGTTGGGAAATCCTGAAGGAAAGACATTTTTAAAATCTTCTTTGTCTGGACAAAATATTCTCTTGATTTACGCAATCAAACTAGAATGACTTCTGTGGCTTTAAACAGCATGGTCAGGAGTCTTGCAATTACATGAGGAACAGTTGCTTGATAACACTGTAAGAGGAGACCAAAGCCCTCTCTAGTAAGCCACGAGTAGATACAATTACATGACCAAGGAGACTTTACTCTACCCAGAAAATGAACACACATTTTTCCGTAACAATGCAAATCCATGAATTTTGGACATTTTGTATTAAAAATAGATCTTTCAGCTTCTTTTACAGTGACCATTTAATTATAGAAGCAGTTACTAAAACACAAGTGTATTCGACATAATCATGAGTTATAAGAATGCATATTGGAAAATTAACTGAAGAGTTTCTTACACAGAAAATACAGCCTGGTCTGTCTTTCAATGTGCAAGGCTCTGAGATGATGCCCAGGCTGTCCCACCAAGGCTTGAGCAAGGCAAAGGAGTGGCCCTAACTGTAGCCGTAAGCACCAGGCAGGATTGGGGCAGCCAGGCAGGCACTGACCTAGAGAAGGCATCCCTCCCACACTCAGAGGGGCTTTCAGGGAACAGCAAAATACCACCAGTAACACCACCATAAACTTCAAAATCAAGTGGCTTAAATCCTGGAAATTAGATTTCCTGGAAAGATCTTCACTTTTGACATTACACAAGTAAAAGACTCAGGGTGAGCTACCCTGAAAGCACAAATTCATTGGGTATCCTTCTTAAAATTGCTCAGCTATAGCAGGAGCAGCAGGACACACCGGCAGGAGGACTAAGGTACACAGCACACCCAAATCAGCTTCTGGTGCGGTGTGTGTCCTCACAGAGACCATTCTGCTTTCCTGTAAGGAGCTACGTCACATCTACCAACTGTACTCTGAGATTGTCCTATAGCCTAATCAATTCCTTCACTACAAAGTTTCTTAAGTTTTGGGTTTTAATGGGGGGAAGGAGTGTTCTATTAACACAGTTCACTGGACTATCAAGGAAAGATTAATAACAACTAAACTTTTCCCTGTTAAGACATTTTGACAGTCAAAGCTTCTACCTTCATGGAAGGGAAGTAACCAAGAAGAACAGCTTCTCTTAAGCCACATCACAACAAGCACCCTCTGCAGACAAGTGGAGCCTGCTCAGGCTCCCAACACAGCCTCCAACCCTGGCAGAAACCTCAGCTAGAACACACAAGACTCAGAAAAGTTTCCATCTCTCAGAATGTCAAAATCAGCGGTTATTTTAAATTCAACTAAAGAATCCTTGAGTTAAATAAAATACATTTGGAAATAAATAACTCAGACTATTTATCAGAGTACGTACTGACTTGTCCTTGTATACTGTTTTTATAAGCCACCTGTGCTCTTCACCGCTCATCAGAATCCAGTAATTTTTAGTGAATGACCTATTTGAAATGATTATAAAGTTAACAGACTGTCTTACTATATTCTTATTACCTCCCACAATTCATACTCAATCCAAATAATAACCGAACAAGTGTCAGCTTCACAAAAATGAGCTGGACCCTGTCCAGTAAGGATCAGAGCCCCACGCAAAGGGACTTTTTGCCCAGAGGCTCACGCTATGCAGACCTAGCAGTTCAGGAGTTTGAGGGAAATCAGCTCAGAAGGCAAGGGAGTCTGGAGACAGTCCAGAAGAGAGGTAGGCGGGCCAGACGGGGTTAGAGTTTTTGGTCCAATGACAAAAGCTGGGGGTCCAGCCCTGTTCTGTCTTGTGCATCTTAGATACACACATTTTCTAGCTCCCTTTGCCCCAGCCAATCAATTATGTTCAGGCTAATTTGGTAAAATTCTAGGTGCCCTTAGAGGACCATAACCTTTTCTTCAGCATCTCGCTTCACTCTCTCATCCTCCTGACGCCGACGCTCTTCCTCTTGTCTTGCTCGGTCTTCTGCTTCCCGCTTGCGCATCTCTTCCAACTGCTGCTGGCGTCTGCGCTCCTCATCCTGCAACTAACAATAAGTGGACTTTAACTTTCACCCAGCAAGCCCACCAGTGTGAGACATCAAAAGTATCTACAAAGACGACTAGACACACCAACACACATTGACACACACACAACACACACACAGAGAAAGTTATATAGAAAATGTCAGGTTAAATCACTGTTGGAAAATGGTAAAATTTACTTATATTATAGTTCTGTAACTTCAAAATAAACCACTTAAAAGCCACAGTCTCAGATTTATCTTACATTAATCATTGCTCAAAAAAGCAAGTTATCACATGCTCATACATTAAACATGATTCTTTCATTAGAATGTTAGCCATCTCCCACAAATCCACAGGCTTGCATAGCAGATGGCCCTTTACCTCATCAAACTACGGAAGGCCTCTACCACCATGGAAATCAGAAAGGTACCCCTCTTGTAGAATATGAGGGGGACTCAATTTCTGCTGAGAGTCATACCAAGCACCCTACTTTTTCCTGGCTAATGAGGGTTTCGTGCTCACTGCCTCTGGCCCTTTGACATAAACTCCCTCCAGATCTCACCATGGACCCTGAGAACTCCTTTCCATCTCTGGGATAGCCCTAAAATTCATAGTCACAAAGTCCGAACCTGAGGTTTGGCAGAATGTCATTCTAGCTCATTTTTGTCTACTACTTCAAGTGTATGGCAACTACTGCAACCCATTTCGCTTTAGGTGATGACTAATTAAAAAAGTGATGGATCAAAATTCATCTGTTTTTCTATGTCTAGTCATTCGAATTCTTTTGAAACAACACAACAAAATACCTTTTCTTCACACTACTTAAATACTTCAGGGTGTCTTTAAATACTCACATGTGCCGATGAACCTTCTACTGCCTTTTTAAGGCCTTTCTCTTCCTGGTCACATTTATTTAGTCATTTTAAGCTAAAAACATTTTCTCTAAGAGTCCTGGATTATTAAACAGGATAGAAACAAGACTCTCTCCATCTTTATCATGGTGTATGGCTATTTCTGTGCTGTAGCCTGAGGTAGCAGTATCTGACATCTCCGCATCCTTAGATATTTTTCATCAGGTATCTACCTGGTCTATAGAATATACTATGACACCATTAAAACGAAGTGGCTCAAAATCTCCAACCTTTGAAAGGAAATCAAAGTCATCGGGTTCTCTCTTCACTTCAGAAAACCCTTACATAAAACTGCTATAAAATGTACTTCAATTTTCATAAAACCTAAAATGCTAATTTCTGGATTTGAATTGTGTTTTGTTGTTGTTGAAACAATTCTCTTCCTTGATTTTTGTTGAACAAAATACTACCTAATGGGAAAGAATAAATTAACCAATACTATTCTTAACTGTGATTAAGATTTTTCAAATCAGTAAACAAGAACAAAACATGTAATAAAAAATTCAAGTTGCTTTTTCAAAAAGACAAATTAACTTCTTCTTTAATCTAGGTGTAAGTCTAGGAGGGATGGTATTAGGCTAACTGGTTTCTTAGTGGATGGCTTTTACAATAAGAATAGCTGCTATGGACCACCAACCAAGAGCCAAAGATAAAAGAGGATTCAAAGAGGAAAAGCCACCAGTGCCTGCTCATAGGGACTGCAGAGAGGACCACGGAGCACCATGAGGAGGGCTCACCCCCAACAATTGTAAGGTCACCAGCACCAAGAGTGAGAAACAGCACTTGTGCAACAAAAACAACATGAAACAGCACAAAGAAAGTGAGTCTACAGAAAGCAAAATAAGGAATAATGTAAAACTGTACTAATGCAGCAGAGATGACTCCTCTTCAAACAAAATACAAACTATGTTGTACTTTCTAGATCTAATGAAAAACTCTCAGCAAAAATATAGTGTGCACTGACACAGTTGATTCATTTCTTAAACAAGGGTATAACTTTAGGAAATTAGAAGGATCACAATTCTCCTGTGTACAAATGCTACTTTATAAACCTATAAGTAGGTATTTTCTTTTTAAAAAGTAGATATTTTCTCTTTAAAAAGCTTTGATCTTCTGAATTTACATGATGTATGGTAAGTAAAGATCTCTTGAGCTCAGTTCATTAATTACTATTTTCAAAAGCAAATTAACAGGAACACTATCTGGCTATGCTTTGGATTTTTAATTTAAACTGCTTTGTTCTTTAAAAATAACTACTTCATTCCAAAGGTTAATAAGAAAAAAGAAAAACTCAAATCAAAATGGTACTATATGACTAATGGTACTAAATCAGTAATACAACTGACTTACATTCAGCTGAAGGGTGTCTTAGGGCATCTTCACATAAACTTTAAATCTAATCATTCTGTAATACAGTGACAACTGTCTATAACAGTGACACTCTGAACTTCAGCCAGAAAGAGGTTTACAAAGCTCTTTGCTTTATGCAAAAAAAGGCTTAAAAAGTCTCTGGACTAAAGATTTAAAAGCCAATAGGTAGTTTAGACCAAGTCTGCTAAATGGCAGTCCTCTTTTCTAAAAAAAGTTTGTTCCAAATTTGAAAAAGTGCACCTTGAAATCTGTGTATAATTTCATACTACAGAACACATTAACTTTTATCTTTAACTTATAGAAATCCCAGTAAGGTAGGTAACTATAGCTGAACACAAAATGGGGTCAGGCAGGATTTTTATTTTTTAAATTTTTTATAGAACACATAATTTGAACTCTGTTAAATCACTTAAAAATCCTTTTCGTCTATTAACATTTTTGCTCATATTCTTTCCCATGCAAAAAGGCCCTCTCAGCCCACATTTAAGACTAAAAATGGAAGAAACCTTTTATCTTACAACATTACTACTATAAGCCATTGGAACCTGACGACCTGGGCTTAGCGCCCAACCTGCAAGGGACTAGCTGTTTACCGAAGAGAAAGGTGTCCACATTTAGGGTCAGATTTTCTCATCAGAAAGCAAAGTCTTCTTTCACAATAAATGTATCAAGTAACGGGAACATTGACCAACAGTGCCTGGTATTCCTTTCCCTTAGCACATAGCTCACTACATTTTTTTTTTAACTTAAGTAAAATGACAATTTTCTTAGAATTTACAAGATCTAGAGCGTAGCTGCTGAAATAGCCCAATGGAAGATTAAACAGAATAACCAGCAAGTAGGATAGAAGGCTTGAGGAAGTCAAGGCCACACCCAAAGCTCCTTTAGGGCAACTCTGATCTATATCAGAAGGGGACTTTGTATTCTACACCATAATGTATAGCTATGTAAGACCAAAGGGTCCTAATGCCTCCCATAATGCTGCCTTCCGGAGAGACACGTGTCTAACCTGATCTCATTCCATGGGTGCCTTGGTCCCAAAAGGACAAACAGTATGCTTCCTACCAATGCTGCCTGGAGGTCAGTTTTTCAATTAGGCTTCCTATCAATTCTTGATTGAAATGTCTATATAGCTTTTGATTCAGAACTTTCTTTCCCTACCTGGAACACATGCAAGATGGTTGTACCTGACACCTATCACCCCACCTAAAGTCCAGGCAAAAGCAGGACATATGAGGGGAACCCTAGTTTTAGAGTTTTCAAATAAGCAGATAAGACTGCAGTCTGAAAATATCTTTCGCATCACCCCAAGATGGAAGAGTATCTCCGTGAATTCTCACGTTATCCTGGTCAGCACATGACCACTAAAATGTGGAACAAGGTGAAGTTGAGAGAGCCCCTGAGATAGTCAGGCCTTGTAAATACCTAGTTGACCGATGGCTTTCAGCAATGCCACTTTATAAAAAGGAGTGTTTTTGCACAGCAGCTAGAGTACTTAATAGGAAGCTGGCTGGAACACTGACTTATACCTAGTCTAATCCTTGTGATAAGAGACCCATGCATCTTATATTCACCCACAGGACAGTTCTGTTATGGAGAAATGAGCATAACATAAGCAATTATTTGGCAACCTAGAGTAATAAAGTGGCCTAGAGTGTCAATCTAGAATGACATCCTGTCATTAGATAAAAGGACCCTTGAAACCTCAAGCCAGGTAAAATTTTAGCTTGGGTCAACACCCATCTGCCACAGGGCCTAAAATGAATGGGCTATAAAAACTAGGGATGGGACTCAGGGCTCTGGGGTTGGTAAAACACTTGCCTAGCACGTGCCTGGCTCTGGGCTTGATCCCCAGAATGGGGGAAAAGAGTAAGAGTCAGGCTCTATGGACAAGACAGAGTATCATGACTATAGGACATATGGGTCCACACATCTTCCAGGTATTTTCTGGAGACAGATCTGTCCATGAGATCTAAGAAAAAAGACAATTAGAAGGCTAGACTGCTGTGCTGTAACCTGGGCTCTATGGGTACTTCCTTTGAAGGGATATTTGGATTTGAATGGGTTCATATACCATTGTAGTAATTACAAACAGGAGAATCTAATGATAGTTTTATTCTTGGAACCAGGAAGTCCACACACTTTCAGGAGCTTGGGGATCTAGTCCCAGGACATTCCACTCCCTCAGTATACTGACTTCCAATGTACCAGAACTGTTCCAGAAACACAGATAAAGGTCACTGCTCCAACGGAGGTGTGTGCTATCCAGAAGGACCAAACACACATCACAACACTTCATGGGAGGGAGTAAGAGGAAAGTAATGCTCAGCCAACAGAGAAGGACAATGAGGAGCTGAGGAAGTAGGAACATAAGTTATAGTGTCAAGCAGCACAAGAAGAATACTCGTTGCTCAGATGGTGGCGTTTGAGCAAGACTGGCTGGTACTGAAGGAGGAAGCATTGGCAACTTCAGGGAAAGGCAATGACCCTTAGGTAGGAGCTGGCTTGGCATGCTGGAGAGTAGCACAGACAGGGGCTGAGTACACCAATGGAACCTGTGGGCCCATCAAAAACTTAGAACATCTGCCTAAGTGAAGGAGTCTCACTCAGGAGGGATCTGGAGAGTGTCCTACTGGGGTCACTGAAGCTGCTGTGTCAAGAATGCCTGTGAAGGGTGAGAACTGAGGAACCAGCCATACACTCTCCTACAGTGACTAGGCCGGGAGGACAGCAGTGGGCTAGGGGAGTGCAGAGGTGTCAGGTTCCCAGGAAGAAGGCAGTAGTGTCTGAATAGAGAACACAGGGTTTATGGAAGACTGCCAGGTTTTTTGATGAAGCAATGGAAGTGCTCATTGGAACAAGAGGAAGGTGGGAACAGAGGGCCACAGTCTGAAGGTATGGTGAAGAGAAGGGATTCCATTCTAAACAGGGTGAAACTGAAAAGTTGTATCTGACCCACAAGGTACACAGGCAAATGGGTCTTCTAAATATTTAAGGTGCAAAAGGTTAGATTACAAGTGTGAATAGGCCTCATTAGCATCATAATTCTTAAGTCACAAGTTTGGGATAAGTAGGCAGAGACAGAGGCCCCTTGGATGACTGCGGTGGCAGGCTACGCAGCCAGAAGAGCAAGAATTAGCCTAGGCAGCCCTCCAATTTTAACAGATCCTTGCTGCTCCCAACTAGAACAGGACCTGCCTCCCTGACCCTAGGGGTTACCCTAAATCAGTGATAGTGAACCTTTTAGAACTTTCAGTGATACAAAGAGCCTGCTGCAGCAGGTATGCTGAAGCTTTACCATCACTGCCCCCTAAATCCTGTGATATCTTAAAAACCTTCAGGTTGCAAGATAGCACTGCTCCCCACAGGACCACAGACTTGCCATCACCACAAATTCCTCCAGAAGGAGGCTCCCAAGGCAACTTTTTGATCCTGACACAGTAAGAATTCTATAGTGGCATGCTTATTAAAAACATGAACACTAAGTAATTGAGCTAAGAAATGCTCTTAAGTGTGGTATTTAAGATCAGTGTGTAACACCCAAAATATGAATTCTCAAATAAAAACTAAGATCTCTTTCTGTACAATAAAAATCTCATTGTGACTGCTATTCTTAAATATTGTTGTTCCTACGTTATACATGCCTTCATAGAATAAAAACTCTCAGTCAGAGTGCTTACCACAGACTGGATTCTGACACGTACTCATTAAGCAAGTAACTTATACTGAAAGCCATTCTAACTGATAAATGTTTTCCACTTACATCTTTTGACACCTTCATATACAAATTGGGGAGAAAAATGTACAATTTTTATTATCTTTCATGTAAAACAAAACACAAAAAGCAGAGCTCAGGATGTATGCTCTCTGATCACCAAGGAGGGAGATGTTTATAAGAAAGGCTTCCCTTTGGATGACACTGCTCTCATTCTACTTAACCTGGCACTGTTACCTGGTAAAAAAGATCATTAAGGCAAACTTTGATTGAGATATTTTTAAAGTACTGTCTGATCCTGGCTTTATTATCACTGAGAAGCTGACCCAAAATAGATACTGACTTAATGTAAGTATATTAGATAACAATTGTCTAGCAGGTGACAGTGACATGGTACTTAAGGATAAAGAGTACTAAAAGAGCAACCAAAATTTCCCTGAAACTGGTAATAAACACATTGAACTCAGAGTGCAACCTCAAGTATTTTTTAGCAGGCTATAAATTGGAATGGCTGATAAACCACACAAAATCTAATGTGATATTAATAATGGAAACACTGAACACATGTTCACTAGAAAGCTTACTTTATCAATAGACACTGACATCTAAGTTACAGCTTTATAACTGCCAACAATGTTAATACCACTTCACCTGGGTTTATGATCACTGAATATTTAAGAACTATTTCTAATATAAAAGAATGAAATAAATTACTTATGGTAAGTTATTTCATTTGCTCATGTACTTATGACTACATAAGAATACACAGAATTAAATAATGACTAAAACTGAGAAAAGGTCAAAACCATAAACAAACAGTAACACTTAAAATTAACAGAGAAAAGCAAAGAGTAACTAAATCTAGTAACATTCAAGGCATGCTTGTAGATAGTGACAGGGCTAGTCTCCTGATCTAGGAGACCCTGGGAGAACTGATCTACTGGGAACATAAAACAACCACCACCAAAAGAGAAAAGAAAATCAAGACAAGAAAAGTACCAAAGGGAAAGAAACAAGAACATACCAAATCTAGAACAGAGATTGCTGGCATAGCAGTCTGCTGCAGGTAATAGAGAAGGAAAAAAAAAAAAAAAAAAAAAAAGAAAGAAAGAAAGAAGATGAAGCATGAAAAAAAAAGTTAGGTTTAGACCTGTATTCTGCCATCAGCATACTCTGTTGCTATCATGTTTTTGGACAATGCTCTGAAAAAAACCTAAAGAACTACAGTCTAACTTCTAGTATTCAGAAATACAAAAATGTTCACATGATATTAAGCACTTGGATTTCATTCTTAAGATTCATAGAAACTAAGTTTAGGTAAGGTTAATCTCTTTAGGCTAAGATATTAACCTTAACATATTTCATGAAAAAATACTTTTACTAAATTATCTTAACATAATCTATATTAAAAGGCTTTGAAATTTATGTTTTAATAATTTAGAAAAACTGACAGCCCTTCAATATAAATTTCATTTTGTAATTATAGACATAGGTACAACACAGTTGCTAATATATTCCTATTATTGGAACAGAGCTATAACAGTAAGTACTCCTGATATTATTTACTCATTTACTAACAAAATTAGTTGGATATTCAGAGTATTATTGATAGTAAACATAAAGCCATACTTCAGTTGTGTCTGGGGTATGGACAATATAAGATCATGAATACACTTTGCTGTTGGATGAATCTAGGTCACTGTATCTATCAGTGACTCTGGCTAGTGCAGAGCAAAAGGCATCAGCACCAACAAGGCTGGACAATCACATACACACCTGAGTGCCACAGAGCTCTCTGCACATGCAGTAAATGAAAGGTATTCAAACAGTTCTTACAGTAACACTCCCTTGTTTATCAAACAGTTCCTTAAACTCAAAAACAATCCAACTTCTGCTTACCAAAAAAACCCCCCAAAAACAAAAAACCAAACCCAAAACACTTCTTATGGTAAATACAGTTATTATTAAATTAAGTCTATTACAGATGCCTTACTAATATGCATACTAGTAAAACACTGTTAATAGCTAAAATTACAAATTAGAATTTGGTTTCAGTTAAGAAAATTAACAATCTAAGAGGTTACTGAACTGAATTTTGGGCAAAATCATGAATACATATTGGGCACAAGTATTTATATATTAAGAAGCAGGTATGAGAGAACTTTTCAGGAAAAATTCACAGAGCCAACTGAAAAAGGATCCTACTACTAAGCTCTGTGTACTCACAAATTATTACCTACAACTGAATTTCATCATGAGGAAGGAAGATTAAAATATCTGAACTACAGCTATTGTTTTAGTTAAGACACAGTATTAAAAAGAAGCTGAAATTAGAAGCAAAATTCAAATGACAAAAAAGAACATACACTTGGCTATCTTTTCTCAGAATATTGCATTGTACAGATTAAGAAAAACAGCATAACTAAAATGCATTAACATGACATGGTCAACAGCCTCTCTATAAATGCTCAAATTAATAATAAAAATACTTTCCTGATAATAACTCCCTTAATAAGTACCAAAGAATCTGGCTTTTACCTAAAGTTTGGCATTTTAACAATTCATTGCAAAAAACTAAATTTGACTTTGAATAATTTGAAACAAAACAAATTATTTTTATAGCATGGAGATATATGAATGAGACAGTTTTTGGTTGAAATTTTTTACTATGTAAATAAATATCTGATTTATCCACAATATAGTTACTAATAATATTCTATTTCTGGTAATGACATTAGCACTTTAGATCTGATGTCCTGAGTGGCTTCATTTGCTCACAATGCAGATCAGAACCATGAGCCACCTGTCATGTGTTTTGGCGCAACTTTGTGGGCACAAGCTTGACCTCTGCAGGTGCTCTGCACTCTAATGGCAGGGCTGAGTGGCTGTCAGTCTACACAGCCTACACACAACTGAACCTCAGGAATTTACCATCTGGCCCTACAAGAAAAGATTTGCCAGGTACTGATGGGGTTTAGTGGTCATTAACAAATACTCTTTTTCTCAATTAAAGAGTTAATAAAGAGGATATTTGTGATATTAATTAAAACAGGAAAGCTCTATTTAAATTGTATTTAATTCTTGTCAAAGGATGCATCTTGAAAAATTCCCACCCTATAACCCTGGCTCATTTTTCTAGGACATCAGCCAACAGCAGTACCAATAGTAAACAGGATATGCCTACGTGGCCTTTTAATCCTCTAAAGATCAAGGTTTAGCTGTCTCTATTACAAACACACAAGTTAAAATAGGGAGCACAGATACGCACAACCAAGTCATTTTTCCCCTTTACCCTGGCTCTTCGCTCAGCCTCGAGACGCTGCATGATTAGCATGGTATCCACATCATCATCTTCCTCTTCCTCATCATCCTCATCTTTCTGCTTGGACTCCTGGAGTCTCTTCTGGAACTGCCACTCCAGCATGAGCTTCCGCAGCCGGTCATTCTCTTCTGTGGTGCGGTCAGCTTTGTTTTGCAGCTCATGGATCTCCTTGCTTAGCATATCTACGATGTGCATCTGCTGCTGCTTCTCCAGCTTTTCCCTTGCATCCCGCTTCCATGGGTCCGGAGACAGGCTGTCACCAGAGGAGAGTTCCTCTTTGCTAATTGTGATGTACTGCAAATCTCTGCGCTCAATAGTACGGGGCTGCTGCTGGGGCTGCAGCTCCCGAATGACGGTTTCCTGGGGCCTCTGGAGTGTGGAAGGCTTTTCGGGCTTCGTCTGCTGTGCAGCCAGGGGAGAGAAGGGAGCCGGGTTGAGGGACTGCGTGCGCATCTGCCCCAGCTTCCTCTCCTGCTCCCTGCGCTTCCTCTCCCGCTCCTCCTCTAGGCGGGCCTTCTCTTTCTCATACCACCGCTGATGCTCCTCTCTCTTCTTTCGTTCTGCAGCAGCTACCTGAGCAGACTGGGGTCCCACCTGGTTGTTAGGAGGGGGTGGAAGAGGCAAATCCATGGGAATCCCATCAAAATCGCTGGCATAGTGGACAGGAGGTGGAGGTGGTGGTGGAGGCAGGTCTGTTCGAATAGGCTGGGAGATGGCCACCGGGGTGGGTGGCACCACAGCAGGGGTTTTCCAGCGGCCAGGGCCACTTTTGGTCAGGGTAGAAGCAGGGGTGACTGACTTGGAGGAATGGTTCAGGTGCTCTTGACTAGAGGTGCTAGATTCTACTGAGGAGCTCTGATTTATCCACATATCGCTGTCAGACTTCCGATCCATGACTGGCTCCACTCGATGCCGCTCAAGTTGGTAAGCTGTGTCTTCCCGAAGCTCTTCTTGGGAACGGGTAACACGCTGGGTAACAAAAAGAGAAACGTTAAAATTTTAGTCCTTCACAGAAAAATTAACAAATAAATAAAAAATAAAAACTTAGATATTTCATCTTCACAGACTGAAGAGACCACAACAACTGCTGTATGTATACAAACTAGAAGCTCAGACTGCTCTAGGGTTCACTGGCAAAGTGTAACTGCAGTAAGTTCATCTGTGAAAAAAGAAGGAAAATCCACGCTTTCTCTCTGTAGCACTAGAAAAAACAGACCATAAAGATGCTCAGGCTCAGCAATGCCACTTTCTCCCCCAGTTCCAAGGGCAGGCATAAGGGTACCTGCACCACCTCCAGGTGGGACCAACCACACAGCTGAATGTCAAGAATGACTGTGTACAATCTAAGTACACGAAAGACAGCCATCAGTACTTCCCTGTAATGAAATTCTGTTTACTACTAAGAGTAATTAATTATTCAATTTGAACCATTTTATCGATCCATGGATCCACTTCTGAATGAATCCCAAAGCTTGGAACTGGCTTTACAAGCTCTTTGATAGTCATGCATCAAAGGACGAGTCCTACTCATTCAAGATAAATCTGCTCCAATAGTAAAGATGTAAAAAAGACGGGTATTAATTCAATGGATATAATGTGTGCATGAGATAGAGTGAAATAAATAAGCTTTTCTCAGACAACACAAAAGATGAAATATCACTTTAGAAAACAATAGCCTAACAGAAAAATGAAACATTTTAGAACTTTTACTCTCAAAATTTAGTGACAACTTTACCTGCAAACAGAAATACAGTGTCCTCATTACTGGGTACACAATCTACAGATCACAAAAAAGTATTAAATGACGTGAAATCCATAGAGCAAAGCCTCTTCCCTGGCCCAGGTGCAAAATCTCTAACTCTGTACTTACTGCCTGACAACCTCTACCTTCTACCAGATTGGGTAAGGTGTCCTGACAGTGTCAAGAAGATACCAGTACTCACAGGGCCAGCATGCTGCAAATAATCAGGCCCGCCTAGCAAAAGCAGGATGAACCAACTAGAGGACCCATTTGTCTTCAGAACATGCTCTTCTCACCTCAGTGCACACTGCTCCCTGGGAGTGCAATCCTTGCCCTCTCTGCCTAGCTGCTCTGCTCTCCCTTTGAGGCTTAGCTCAAATTCTATCTCAAATCCAGTCTTTTGGGTACTCTAATGGGAGAATAGTTCTTTCAAATAGCCACAATATTTACTATCCACAGTACACATTATTTATTCTAGACCAGAGGCAGCAAATCTATAGCATACAAGCCACAGCAGACTATCTGTATCACTGAAAACTCTAAAGGTTTGTCATCACTGTAAACTGTACTATTGAAGCATATATTTAACTTTTTCTTTTGGTCATCTATGATAATGCTCCCAGCTTAGCTACTTGGGAGTTACATTGCCTTCTCCAGAGCCCTTCCAACTGGTTCCACTTGCCTTTAGTGCCTCAATCCTGCTATCTTCCTCATCCTACCTTGGATTCTTGCTCAACTAGATGTTTCCATGCCTTTTCTCTCTGCCCCAAATGCTCATCTATGTAGATGGCTGTGATAGAACCAAGATTAGCCAGGTTCTACTCAAAATATGCCTGACAGGACCTACTTCTTCAGTAGCACTGACTGTATCATATATATCTGCCTCACTTCTGCAAGGCCACTAGCACGTACAAAAGCAAAATGCACACAGTATCACTGGGTTCTTATTTCTCAATCCTGGAAGCAGTGAGACTCTTATCCACAGTTGTAACTGAGATCTTACACCACTAACATTTCATTAATCAAACATTAAACACAGCATCCCTGTTCATTGTATTTTACATTCTGTCCTGTTCCCCTCTACAACCGTGTTTTTCTACAGAAAATATCAATTGTAACTAAAAGCTTTCAAACTTCATCATGCCAGATTGTTCTACTCTACTGCTTGAAAGGCTGACAGAAATTTGTGTAACCCTTTATGTCTAACCTGAATTGCAATACTGGAATGATTACTATCTGTGTGCATATGGGGCTTATCCTCATAATTTGGCCACTGGTTCTGGGGAGGAGCCATCCGATCCTGGGATTTGGAAGCTGGGAAGGTAAAATACTCTCTGGTGTATGTCTGAGTGGGGATGGGGTAGGCTTCAGGTCTGGGTGGAGGGGTCTGTTCCTGCAAAATGTGAAGAACAAAGAAATGTAAGTTGTTTACAATTATATAGATTAATTTCTGATGTTTTAAAATCCAAAAAATGAATACATATATTAAATACTGTGTTAAAGTTAAAAGTGTTCAATTCTATACTGTGACATGAAGAACATTTTATTTTGCCAATATTTATTAATTTAAAAATAACTTATCTCAGTATATTAAAAACATAAAAATAGTAAGTGCTATAAATACAGGAATTATCAATGATTACTTGCTAAGTAAGAATCATGTTGGACAACTCAGATATTCCAAAAGAAATCTAAGTATAATAGTGTGGTAAAAACCACACTCTCTCAGACCTCAGTGCAGAGGTTCCCAGTGGAGACAGATGTTATCTTCGCTGTTGTTCCAGAGGCATATGTGCTTTTCCCTCCAGGACTAGGAGGCTGATCTGTTGTAACAAGGGGGGAAAGTTTATTATTAAATAAACAAGCTAGTGTAACATAAAGTGTCTTTGGCAGCAGGAATTACATCTCATGCATCATCATTTGGTGTTAATGGTGTCTAGCACTGAAACAAAACAAGCCACGCAAGAAGCTGGGTTCCACTGCATCATCATTATTTCTCATGCCATCAGAACCCACAGCCAGCCAGAGTTTTTTCAAGACCAGGGTCTGGCAAATATTTTTGGTAAGGGCCTGGAAAGTAAATTCTTCAGGCTTTGCAAGTCTTGTATCTCTGTTACACATCCTTCCATTATTCCTCTTTTTGCTGACACCTTTAAATAAGTATAAAAACATTTTAGCTTCTGTTGGAAATTTGCCAAGTTCTGCTATGGACATAAACAATGCATTTTGTCTACAGTAGCAACTAAATCAAAGATTTTTAACTTCATTTTTTCTGTTAGAAGAATGTTAAATATCCTTCAAGAAAACTCTACTCTAGTTGGCCAGTGTGTGCAGACAGCAACTTTCCTTTAGTAACTACCAAAGCCTAATGTGACCCTTCACTTTTCACCATAATCAGACAAAGACTTAAAAAGAGAAATGGCTTGTTCTTACTTGCCACATTGGGGCTGGAGCGGTGGTCAGCCCGGTTCTTCATCAGTCTGTCATCACCAGGCAATTTCTTTGGTTCACTATACTCTCCCCAAGGCAGCTGAGGGCTCTCTGGTGAGCCATTCTGAGCTGAATTATTATATAGTTCAAAACCTTCACTCTTTGGTCGGGGTTTACCTGAGCCACGACGATCTGAAACTGAAAACAAAGCACATTCAATAGTTTTCCTTTTAACTGGACTGAAGATGTGGTTATGTTATGTTATGTCACACTATGCTATTTTATTTTTTTGGTACCAGGGATTGAACTCATGACCTAGTGCTTGCCAGGCAGGTGCTTATGCCACTGAGCTAAATCCCTGGCCCAAAATTTTATTTATTTAAGTTCCTTGATTAGGTTTAAAAGAAAAATGAGTCTAAAATTTTAGTTTCATAAAACACTTCTTAGCATATGAAATAAATTTTAATAAGGCAGATATTTTGCTATACAATCTTTAAAAAGCTATTAAATACCTTGAGAATACAGAAAACATGTGGTTATCTATGAGAAAAATATACTTTCAAAGTTTTTCTCATCAACTGAAGTTTATGTATTTTAATAATAAAGTAATGATGTTTAAAGTCATTTCTAAAAAGTGACTTTAAATATACTCTTATTTCTCAACATACATTAACACTTTCATCATTTGGGATTGCTATCATCACAGCCGTCACTGGATGTGACTATCAGCTTCTGACTACTTTCAGTCTTCTTGCTGACTCTGATTTGCTATGAATTGTCTCTCTGTGTGTGTGTGTGTGTGTGTGTGTGTGTGTGTGTGTGTGTGTGTTGGAGCTGGAACCCAGGTCCCACGTATGCTAGGGGAATATTATACCAATGAGCCACATATAATATCAACCTCTATTATATACTTGCAACAGCTTTCCTCTTTGGCTTCTAACTCCTGTTCTAGTGTGCTTATATCAACCTTGACGTGATTTAAAAATACATGCTGAATCAACACTTTTACTGCAACAAATGGTTTTGCTGAGATTCCCTTTCTGTTTGCTTTAGTAAGCAGAAGATCCAGGCTGGCAGAGGCCTTTAATATTGCTGCTGTTTGTTTCTATCAGCTACAGACTGTAGGTTCTCAGTTGTGAGGCCCCAGAATTTTGTTGTATGGAGAAGAGGTCTCTATCAACTATTTATCAAGATACTTCACAGGCTATGTAGACAATGATCAAAGTTCATCATTAAGACTGACCAGGAACTCAGGAGGCTGAAGCAGGAGGATCGTTGCGAGTTTGAGACCAGCCTAGGCTACAAAGTGAGCTCAAGGCCAGCCTGAACTGCACAGCTAGAACCCTGTCTCAAAAAGACAAAAAAAAAAAAAAAAAAAAAAAAAAAAAGACTGACCAGGAAAGTATATGATTACTTAAGTCATTAAAAAAAATAATATGAGTTATAATAGTTTTCTTTTGTGGTTTTTGAAATCTTTAAAAAGTCCTAAATTTATATGAACTTTGTTCTCATTTTTTTTATATAGTACATGAAACAATTCTCATAAATAACCACATTAAATAACCGAGTTATATATCTTCAATAGTTGAGTTTTTAATTTAAAGTGAATTAAATACCTCAAATAGTCCTGTCTTATTTTGGTACATGCAGGACTAAAATACTGCAACTACTCACATACAAATGCAAGCATATTCTTTCACTAGAAAGAATGTGTCTTAAAGAGAACACCCTGAGCACTTACTCTGTGCAAACCTATAGAAGGAACCTCACCAGCAGCCAACCAGGTACACTGGTGGTGGTGGTGGTGGTGGTGGTGGCGGTGGCTGGGTGTCACAGGGGTCTTGGGAGACAAGGAAGGGAAACCTTTTCTGCATCACAGTGTCAACTCCAAAGTTAGATGGCACCATCCAAATCCAGGTTTCTAGATGCCAGGCATCCCTCAACATCCTGTTTGAAGTGTTCTCGTTCTCAATTTCTTTATTTTTAGAACCAATATAATAGTAACACCAGCATCTACTCCACAGGGTTTTGAGTGACTATGCAAGGGGTTATGACTGTTGTACCGGCTGTACTCTGTATGGGACCAGATAGATTTGGCCACCTTGGCAGGAATGAGCACATCTTGGGTCCTTACCCCTCTGCATCATAGGGGATGGCTGGTTGAGGAGGGTGGCCAGGCCGTGATAGATAGCGCCTTGCTTTGCTACTTCAAGGGTGACCACGGAACTCGTTCTTGTCATGAGTTCTGCTGCCCTAGGAAGAGAATGTCACAAGGGTGAGAAAAACCAAACAGTACTAACTGCCCTACAGTAGCCTTTGATCAGAACAACTGAGAATCACGGTCCCCAGCCTCATTTTGCATTCTGGGCAACACAAGACTTTCAGACAGATTACCTTCTGAGCATTTTCTACCTCAGAAAATTAGTCACAAGAGCATGCAAACATATCATGTTATCTTATTAATAGTTAGATGATATTCAGAAATTCCAAGAAGTGCTAATAGTATACACATCTTTTAAAATAAACTATTCTATACTAAAATATAATATTGCAACAAATGAAATACCACACACACTGAGTTTTATCCCCCAAAAGATTAAAAATAATAAGAGCACAGAGGTTCTTCAGCATTATTTTTCATCTCCTAACTTCAAAACTCAATGGAAAACATCATCTAGTAAACTCTGAACAAGTCAGTCCATACCTTTCCTGAGATAGTCCAACCAGACTTCGGCCGTCCACACTGAGAAGCTGATCACCAGCAGCTAGTCGTCCATCCTGAACCCACCCACAGAGGGGTGCGCGCATGTCAGGATAAGAAGAAAATGTGATAAGTACAGACTTGTTCTTCTAATAACCATCACCCAGTACTGCATAGCTTGGAGTATCAGCAACGTATCTCACATTACTTGTTAAAAATATGACACGCTTAAACTTTATTTATTTAAAAGTGATACTGACCACATCTGCAGCACCTCCTTTCACAACAGACTTGACGTAGATTCCCAGTTTGTCCTGACCAGCACCCTACACACACAAAAAAACAGTAAAATCACCACACTGAGAGAACATGATAAAGAAACGCACCATGCAGGAAAGAAAAGCTAAAACAAAACCATCCCACATGCATGGAGAAAACTGTCAAAGTCCTGGATCTCACTTTTAATATGAAATGAAAATGATAAAAAAAATGTTAATAGAATTAACACCCTATTTTGTGAAACTTAAAAAAAAATAGGAAGTGCCTCTATGGTCCTAAAATTAGGAGAAAAAACATACTGAAAAATCAGGTGTTTATTCATAACTCAGCTGACAAGAAACTGCAATAGATTTGTAATCCTGAAGCTGTTTTCAGAATAGTTGAAACAGCCACAAATTAAGTGAATTAAAAATTACTGATATGATATATATATAAAAATGTGTGAAAACTGCAATTCATTACACTGTTTTCACATTCAAATATGTACCCTTATACCCTTGTTCTTTTACTAGAGTTTAATAAAATTTAGAAAAAGCAAAGAACTTCTTGTAGTAAGCAATAAGATGGGCTTAGGTGGTAGAAGAGTGGGCAGAAAGCACTCTGTCCTCCTCAAGTATTTAACTCTTAAGTAAATATTAAAGCAACAAAACCAATCTCTACAGAATTGTTCTATCATGAAAAAATGTGAGATTTAAGTGCCATGTAATTACAGAAGCATCAATATTCTGTTTAGCCATCATAACTATAACAAATAAGACAATGAATAATTTATTGTAACTATCAAAAAAAGCAACTATATTCATGAAATCTTACTTATGTGTTACTGACAATATTCCACAATTAAGTATATATATTTTTAGGTTACAACAAAGAAAAGTCCATCATCATTTTAACAGTTATGAAGTACTGGGTCATATAAGAAAAAAATTAGGTATTATAGAAAGGGATAAAGACAATGATTTCAGTAATGAGTTAATTAAAATAATTTTTGTAATTTTATAATTTATAATTATAATTTCCACTTGGAAATTATTCACATTTTCTTCCATTAGTTAGCAATTTCAGTTCGCAGATTTCAGTGCTGATGTCTACATCCCTGACTCTGGTGAAAGTGAGATAGGGATGTCAGGCATGCAGCACGCCAGTTTTGTGAACACAAAATCATCTGCATGCATTGCTTTGAAGACAATATAAAATTTCTTAATTTTACAGAATAACTCAGTTTGGGGAAGCAGTATGTTTTATGTTTGATACGGCTACATTATCTAGGAACTAAATTTATAGTGTTCTACACAAGACAAATCAAGTATTTTCTCTTTCTCATAGCCTGCATCCTCTGACCAGTTTTCCAGTCTGTTCATGTACATTCCCGTGGACACCTACAGTCCCTTCCGTGCATACTACCACTACCACCAGAGCTGCGTAAGCTCAAGGTCTCTCAGCATTACTAACACTACATGACAGCCATAAAACTATCACTTGGATAACTGACAAAGTGTATACCTTTTAAATAAAAAAAAAATATGCACTAGGCACTCAATAAATGGTAATTTTTGAAAGAGTATTACGTATGTTTTTTTACCTGAGTTCACTTATGCCAACAGTAGTTTTCTTGAAGACCTAAAATGCACAACAGAAAACTGCTTCTAAAACACAGCCCCTACAATCCCTATGTGTCAAAATCAGATAGTTGTCACACAGTTCATTATTTTTCATGATCTATGAATAAGTCTGTAATTCCATAATTCTGTTGCTATAACGAGCATGTAATTCATACCATGCACAGCCACCATGCCCCTATGCTGTCCTAAACTGTGTTCTGCGGGTGACGCAGCATGGTCTTGTCCTTGCGGAATGGGTATCCCAGAGCAGAGTTGTGCATGCAGCCAGTGGAGCTCTGAAAACTGCTGCATCTTCTCCTGCAGCACTGCAAATCTATTCCCTTTCAGTTGGTATCCTCAGCCTAATTTTTTTAAGTTCCAAAACCCAGAGTCCTCTGTTATTCTGCTTCTTACTGAACTACTGGCAGGATCAATGAAGGTCATAATAGCACTCCTGCTGTGAATGGTCACTTGCTCTTGTTTTCACAAGGTATTGTCTTTTGATTAAGGTGATACTGACCTTGTTAATTTCTTTCTTTCTTTTTTTTTTTTTTTTTTTTTTTTTTTTTACTTTTTCCTTTTTATCAGTACCGGGGATTGAACTCACGACTGCCTGCTTGCAAGGCAGGCACTTATGCCGCTGAGCTAAATCCCCAGCCCCCCTTGTTAATTTCAATGATAGAAAGAATTCCTTTAATAGGATAACCAATTACTACCATCTCTTACAAAATGTTTAGCATTAATACTAGTTACATAACATTTTCAGTAATACTGATACAAACTAAAATACTAAATTAAGCCTCCTTCCTCCATTTGTGGTATGTTTTAGAAGATTCCCATTACTGAAGAACAAAATAGTTTCAATCATATATTTCAACAAATTGTAACGAGACGGCTTTTCAAAATCACAAAATGTGCTGGTCCAAGATGTACAATCCTTTCCTGCCCCTCCTATATATTCACTTCTAGCACCTCTTGTGTGAGGTTCTGTAGGAAGGAACACTCAAATCCACTACTGTCAGAAATGAATGATGAGAAGGAGATAGCTAAGAAGTGATAGAGATTTCTTTTTCTTACATACTGGTAATTTAGCCTATTTCTAGGTTATAATCACTTCTTTTTAACTCAAAGTAAAATGAATTTATCTTGTCATAAAGAGATTTTCATTTGAGAAAGTAAGCATTTATGATAGTTATTAGACACCTGAATTCAAAAGACCTATTGGTGTCTAGATTGATTATAGATATCAACTTTTATCAAAAGTCAGTGAAATGTGTATTAATATAGTCTTAGACAAACAGACAAGCTGAAAAATATGAGGTATATGTAAACAAAGAATCTGGAGTATTTTAAGAGGTATCGAAATACTGGTTAAATATTTAAATCTATCTTACGTATCTAGTAAATACTCTCTATAAGGCAGAAAGCACTGCCTGCTCTTCTGTGAGCAGGCTGCCATCCACCAGCACAACTCCCTGTACATACATGCCTGCTCTGCAGAAGACTCTACGCAGGGTATTCCCACCTTCTCTCTCCACTGATGTGAATTCTAGCCACACTTCACCTGCAGCTCACTGCCATACAATGGCAGTACAAATTATAAATACAATGGCTACATGAAGAAATTACAGTTCTACTGGTACTGTTTACTATTTCAGAAAAAATTAAAGATGAACACCTGGAGATGAAAGAACATTTATGGAATTTCTAGCCATACTCATCAAATCTGTACAGGTAGTTTCTTTAAACCCTAGTCACCAGCTTTACTCAACAGTAAGGTATCTATTTTATCAATCTGGCCATGGCAATCCTGAACTGACTAGGTATAAAGGTGCTCTGTCTCACTCCTTGCTGCCAAACATGCAGGTAGGTCCAGTAGGGAAACAGGTACCTAGGAAAGCTTTTATCTGCATTATGGAGCTCTTTCACTAACTGCCCACTTCTTTGACAGAAAAAAATATGTTAGCCTAGAATATAAAATTTATTAATTTTAGAAAAGTATTGTATCACTTGATTTGTCTCATTTCTAAACAATAATGCACAAGAAAATCTAGCCTAATAAGATGGAATTCAAAACTTGTTAGTTTCATTTTTTTAAATGTAGCTAATAAAATCCTAAATGTACCACAGATAGTATGAAAATGAAATGGGTAGAAACTGCTCAAAAGGAAAGAACAAATGGGGTGGGGGAAGGAGAAAACAAGGGAAATATGTGTGTGTAGACAGATAGCTAAGCTACACACCCACATACAAGACAGATAATTATACTACTAATCTCAGTTCATCAAAAAGAACAGTTTGTGCTTTCACTATTTGATCATGTTTTCATGGCTATATCTTGATATGTATGCAACTAATTCAAAGATAGTACACAATATATTAATCATTGTTATTCTATTATTTTGTTTTAAAATTGTGTCATTGTTTTTTTCATTTTTTAAAAAAATGTAGCTAACAGAAAGTTTTAAATTACCTATGTGACTCACATTACATTTCTAGCCAACAGCACTGCTCTAAACAGAAGTGTGTATAGTACGTACTTTATTAGTAACCGTAAGCACTTAATAATAAATGTATACAGACAGATAACTGGGCCAAAACAAGATCTCACCACAATAACATATATATGCTAACAGTACACATCCTGATTTCTAATCACAGGAATAGCAACAAGAGCTATTAAAACTAATAAAGCACAAATGACAAATATATAAAGGCCAAATAATTTTAAGAATTACTTGTCTAAAGGAACCTAACATGATAATGGAAAATGTACTACTGCATTTTAGTCTACTTACTAACTGCAAAATTAAGAGAACAATTGCAATCATTCAGGATTACTCATTCCTCACGTAACAGGTCAGCTCTTTTGGAAAACAGCTACACATTCTTCTAAATATAATTTTGAAACAAAGTTAAATACCAGATTTAAAATTTTCAATACCCTAAAGTACATTTCCCCCTGGAAGCACTGAGAGCAATGTCCCAGCACAGCACAGTACCCACATGGCTGAGATTAGCCTTGTGCACCAGCATAATTGGGGACATGCACGAGCAGGCAGTCCTCAGCAAAGACCAGGGAAAAGGGCAATCTCAAATATATACCTCTTGCTTGGCAGAGAGGATGCCCACGAGAAATGAGAGAAGACATGGCAGAATGAGATGAGGTAGAACAAAATTAACACTTCAAATTCACCTGTAGAAAATTATGAAAGAGCATGAGAAAACAACAAAAGACAAAAATAGAAATACCTCTGCCGGTATACCTTATGTTCCCTTAGATCTCAGAGATACATGCACCTCTGAGTTGCCCAGATAGTGGATGAGGAAAAGGCTGCTCCCGTCTTGGTATCTCTTTCTCCCCACATACCTCTCCAGAAGCCAGTAAAGGTTTAGTTGCCTCCCACATATGCAAGCAGGTGCAGGCAGGTACAGGCAGAATGAGC